GAAAATTGCTATAAATACATATTTAAAAAAAAAAAGTCTGACCAGAGCTAGTAGCCCTTTGATCCTAAGATTGAGGGTTTAAAAAAAAAAAAGTCTGACCAGAGCTAGTAGCCCTTTGATCCTAAGATTGAGGGTTTAAAAAAAAAATCCAAGTCAATTGGATTGCATCAAGGACCCTTGTTCTCCTGCAGGCTTGCAGAATGAAAATTTCTATGCCCTTCGTTTGATGCGCCCGATAACAGGAAGCCATACGAGCCCCCTGCTTTCATAGGCCGCAAAGCTTTGATGCGCCTCTTGATGTGAGAGTGGAAAGGGTGAATTTTCACTCCGTTTTTCACTCTCCTCCCCATGCGTTCGCTTCGGTCCTTGATGCGATAAATTCAGGAATAAAGGAATAAAACAACTCCGCTCCGTTTGGTTTGAAGCTGACGGGATGCGAAAAGCTTTCATTCCTTCTCTCTGTGTTTCGCAAGCTGCATTTGGTAATTTTGGGGAAGATTAAAAAGATACTTCATTTTCTAAAGATGGGCGAGAAAAAAGGACGTTCAATTATCACTTGAAGGAGGCGCATCTTCCCCCCCCAATTTGGGGCTTATCAAAAAGCCAATTTGTTCTCTTGTACTTCATCGGATTCCTTTTCACTTTACTATTATTATTTTTTTCCTTTTCTTTTTTAAGCCTCTGTCTCTTAATTTGATCAAAATTGCCTTTTGATGTTTGCTGGAATTTGCTTCCCAATTGTGCATGCCAAATTAGAACTTAATACCGCCGCGCGAATGGCTTCGCAAAAGTTATTATCGTTCTCGGGAGTTTTAGAAGACATAATTCATTTTGCGTCCTTTCGTTTTGGTTTCTAAGGCAGGAGAGGGGTGGAAGATCTTGGTTTTGCAAGGGCTTGTGACTGTTTACAAACTCTCTCTGATCACCCCAAGTAACCAGGGTTTTTCATCCTTCTCAAAAATCGATTTTCATAAAACTTAGGTCGAAAGCTGATAATCCAAATTGGGAAGTTTTGCATCCTTGGGATTTTCCCAAGGGTTGATTCATACAAAATTGGTAAAAGTAGATTTCCTCTTCTTATGTTTGCATGTCCAGGCTGGGTGTGGATGGATGTGCAGAAAGCTATTTGGACTAGATGACCTACAAGGTCCCTTCCAACTCTGTTAATCTACCTGCCTGCCTATATTTCTAATCTATCTACCTATCTAATCTATCAATCATTTATCTATCTAATCTAGCTACCTACCAACCTACTCTATCTATCTATCTAACCATCCACCCATCCATCCATCCATCTATCTACATGTCTATCTCTCTCTATCTATACTTACCTATGCCTGCCTGCGTATGTATCTAATCTATCTACCTATCTAATCTATCAATCATGTATCTAATATATCTACCTACCTACCTATGTATCTCTATCTATCTATCTATCTATCTATCTATCTATCTATCTATCTATCTATCTATCT